AGTTACTAGACCCAACACTTCCAGATGCATCCAATAAAATAATAAAATCAAAAGCCCTTGCAGTACAATCTGTACAAAGAGAAGAATAGCATACTTTTACACAGTGCTGAAGTATATACATACCTAAATAATTCTGTATAACAGATACAAGAGAAGTGTCAGGTCTATCACACTGTGGAGCATCACTAAGGAATGTAGCAATCTGGGAAGGGCATGAAGCAGTTGTTGTTTTAATCTATAAAAGTAGAATATAATAATGATAATAATAATAATAATAATAATAATAATAATAATAATAATAATAATAATAATAATAACAAAAGACAACAACTGTAACAAAGAATCCCATAGAGGGAACCATCAATGATGATAATAATAATGATGAGATGATAATAATAACCAGTTTGTTAGTCATCATCAGAGAGCCAGCATTATAAGGTCAAAGGAGATTCGATGCTTAAATAGACTCTCCTTAAAGTCTGACAATTTTAACCTTTCTGCTCAAAAGTTTTGTGGTGCTATTTGTTTACGATATATGAAGCCACTTAATGATCTTCCTCTTGTCTCTGATGGTTGTGGTGCCACTTTCACTACCATTCATGCTCTAGATTGCAGAAATGGTGGTCTTTTACGTGAACTGTCATCATTTGTTTCGAATAGAACTCACTCAGAAGGTCTTATCACTGATATGGCCATCTGTAGTACTTGGCAGAGGGAGTGTACTGCTATGTTTGATGTTTATATTTTAGACTATGGTTCTGATTCTCATTCTTATTCTAGTAAACCTCCACAGTCAATTGTGGTACTTTTCTGCTAAATTAGAGAAAAAGAGATAATATTTTGCTGCTTGCGAATCCCATCATTGTAGTTTTACTCCTCTCTGCTTTACAACTGATGGTCTGATGGGTATATAAGGAAGCTAAATGTTTCCTTAAACAGTCTCTCAGTATACGGTGGGAGATTCATTATGGTATCAGTCTTAATGAACTGGGTCCATACTGAACCCTCTTACTCATTACTAAGGGCCACCAATCTATGTCTCAGAGGTACCTGATCCATACAATGAATCAGTGCCATTCAGTGGTCAATATTGGTTTTTCTACCATCACGTGACTCTTACCAACTAATACTTATTTCTACTTACAATATGCCTTATCAACACCATGTGCTCTAACACTACATGTATGTATGCTATCATCAATATCCCTTCTTGATTTTTCTTATTGATAATGATCATGATAATAGTAATAATGATGGTAATGATAAGTGGTTTAATGATAATGATGATAATAATAACAATAATAACAATAGTGATAACAATAAGTAATACTTTCTTACCTGATTTAGTGAACTTCTATCCCAACTTTTATTATCATTATAAATTTTATCTTGAATACAATTAAGGTTCTGACAGTTAGGTGATAAGAATATATCTGTACAGAACCCATTATCAGTGTAACATTGAGGACGACTTGCAACAGCAAATGCCTCAAACTCGCCACAATCAGTATTTGCATTACTATAGAGAGCACTATTGACAATAGACTGCATCAAACATCTACGGACATTAGTAATCCATGCTTGGCCCTAAGATAATAATAATTTATGTATAAAGACATGCTTTGGTGAATTTATGCTTCAGCTCAACTATGAAATTTATGGTATTTATGTAGCTTATACATGGAGTTATTTAATCATGCATTACTTTCTTAGAAATATTGCTGAAAGGATGTTTTAGCTTTCACAGAATTTACATTGAGGATATCAAGAAATTTGTAATCAAATTAGACTACATATTTTAGTGGTTCCTAGGAAATATTCACATACAGGGACATCAAATATCAAAGCTACCCGCTACTTGTTCAAAGCAACTTTAATGATAACTTTTGAATTTATATGGAAATTCAGTTGACTGAGATTCTATTTGACAGTACATCAAACTAACCCCTAAGTTGATTCAACAAAGTTGAATACTAGTAGGTTGTAGGACACACACAATGCAATCACTGTACTTACTGCTGTTGTGAAGCAACTTGATTCATCGATGTATTTCTGACAGTAGCGTTTACCACGGCGAAGAGGATACTGCTTTCCATTGCAGTTGAATTTAGTATGCAAACAATCATAGAAACTGCAGTTACCAGCACTGGCCAGAGCAGAACAGTCAGTACCTTGAGCTAAAGTGATGTACAATAGAATGACAACTGCAGCAGCAATAGTGGAAAAACCAGAAGTCATCTTATGATATTAGCTGCTGCCTATAAAGTAAAAAACAATAATGAGAAAGAAAGGAGATAAGATGAGAGTGAGCTGAAAATCTGTAGGAAACAAAAATAACTTGGTTTAAATAAAAACCATGCACGGCAGGAACATCATTAAAGCTAACACAGGAAGTGCAGTAGTTTGATTAGCATACCATGACATGTGGGAGGACTGAAGGGCAGGGATAAATATCTTTGTATAGAAATTGGCTTTGAAAACACTTCTATGCATAATTTTATTACCTGTTGTGAATGCTGAAAAAAATAAAAGTAGCCACATACCTGTATGCTACCATTATCTATAGATGGTAGTCATGGTACAACGTAGGATCAGTTCAGCAGTCCTTGAAATGCCCTTTTACAAAAAAATCTTTGAAAACATATAAACAAGGAAAAGTACTCTAAAACAATTATTACATGGCAAAAGAGACATATAGATACTGCTATAAATAATATGATGTAGAATTTGCAAAATAATATCATAACCACAGAATCAGATTGAACAATTGCATGTAGGTTTTAGCATTAGATCTACTCAGTAGCAAATTCAGAAAACAGTGAAAATACTCAAGCAGAATATAATTAAAAGAGGTACTAGCAAAAAAACAGTTGCAGAGGAAATTGGAAAACTACCTACATAGCCACTACAGCTTTTGTTGAACACTTAATAGCATGACACACATAGCAAAATGAAGGCAATGATAATATTTTCAGTGTTGGTTTTGCATCTATCTGGCTACATTCATTGTTAGCTTTGTCCACTTGTGTCTTAGTAATAAGGTTGAACAAACATAGTTGACATACACTCGCTATTAGAAAAGAAATTTTATTCACTTAACATCAGTGATTTTTGGGATAATAATGATGCCAGCATGGTATGCAAGCAGCTGGGATATTGGTATTATAATGATAGTACCGGTACTATATTTCAAGTATAATAATCTTTGTGTTTTCTATACTAACTAAAAGGTGATATAGGATCTATGGTATCATATTTCAATTCAAGTGCAAAATCAAATTCTATCATTGACTTGAACTGTACAGCAAATGAAACCACTACTTAGCATCATGCAGTCAGAAACTTCTTGAAAAAGCAATCAAAAACCTAAAAAGCAAAATTATTGTGCTGACTAAAAAATTGACAAAAAGAAAAAGGAAAATATCATTAGTTTACTTATTTCTAGGAAAATATGCAGTAAATCAACAACAATCAAACTAAATAAGCTTATACACCTAGTCATATTAAAGCACACACACACAAAGTCAAAGGCAAGCATTTCATATCCATATAAAGAGGAAGAAACAGAGCAAAGCAACGATCATAAGTACCATTGAGCCCAGAACACTGGTACCTAATAAAAAAGATGTATGAAATCAAATATCAGTTACACCAACTTTCTTACCAGATGATGGAAAGCTCTCAGTAGTATCACCAAAAGTAGTGTTCAATACAAATGTATTGTCATCATTCAATCCAACAATAGACAAGTACACATTAGCACCAGTACCATTAGTCGGCATTGGTGCTTGCCTCTTAGTACGGCGTCCATCATTATTATCATTATTAGTTGACTGCCTCATTAATTCTGGACTAATGAAATAATCAATGTCATTTCCATTGCTCATGACAGAGAAATCTTGTGTGAGTTCATTTGGATTTTGTACACTAAATGATCCTCGAACCACCAAATTTCCCACTGTAATATCAACTTTGAGTGTCATTCCCATTGATGGAAACTCATACTGTAACAAACGAGATGATCCTTTTGGAAGGGTAGTAGCAATCTCCATTCCTGTCTCCAATATGGTTGGAGCTATAAATCAAATCAGTAATAATTTAGTTTATTGAAATTGGCTTACTTGAACATGTAGATACTTGTAACTGTCTCAACACACCCCCAAAATCACTAGATGAGAAACCACTGACATTAAAAACATTCCCCTGACCGGTAGAAGCAATGGCAACTAGCTCCTCATAGCTTATACGATTCCCAATACCAAAAGAATAAACATAAATTCCATCATTATGGACAGCTTGAGCAGCTTGTACTGTTGCTGAAGGATCATTAGACCGTCCATCAGTAAGAACAGCAGCTACACGAGGGATACCTTCACTAACACGAGCAGTAGCAAATGCTG